CGGCGGTTGTGGGCGTTAAACGCGCGGCCCGCAGGGGCAGGGTGGGGGCCGAGGTAGCTGGTTTTGGGGAGCCCCGTCCGCGGGAGACGCCCTGTGAGTCAGGAGTTTCTGGGCTGGCTTCTGTCGAGAGAACGTTTTTTTATTGCTCTACGCAAATACGCAGCGTTAAGATGAAGCAACTCCACGGTGGTGTGATGCGGCTGTGGTTTAGCTACACGTAACTGCGGTTACAAATCGTGATACAACTACAGTAAGCTTCGGGTTTTGTTAACGATAACAAAGTTGGGGAGTGCTTGTCTCCTTCGTACTTCAGTTCTGTGCTTTAACCCCTAGATCGTTCCTTCCAAAGTTCTGGCTCAATACTTGTGTTTTCTAGCTGAAATATTTTCAAATTTGTCAAACTCAACAGAGACCCTCAACCAAAATTCCAAATTTATTGTAAATCAATAGTTTTGAAACATAGTCAAAATCAGTGTTTGTAAAAGCTGGTGCACTGAAAACAGGTAACTGCCACAGACCCATGGGAAGGAAGGATGCACGCTGCAAAAACGCAACCATGTTATTTGTAGGTTTTAGTAATAGTACTCTACTTGCTGAGCTCTAGTTACAGGAAGTCACCGTGCTTGTTTTAAAAAGTCAAATAGCTATGTCAATTTGGAAACTTTGCAGCTACAAGAGAAAAAAAGGGTAGTTATTTTAATGTAAAATTACTACATTTTCCCTTACTTGTGAATTTAACTGCACAAGAAACTGACAGGAGATACAAACACGCCAGAAAACTTCACCGATAGGCTGCACTTAACAGACTTACAGTTACAGCATGATATTTTCTTTCGGGAGCAGGACTGGATCGGGTTCTGCCACCTCTACTCATGCTGACTGGTAGAAAGCTACACTTAATTAAAGTATGAATTGTCACATTTGCTGTCAAAATAAATTTGCTAGTATTCTGTGAAGTATTATGTTTTGAACCTTATATAGGGGTAAAGTATTATCTATCATTAGTTAGAGCTCAACTCATGAATTGTAATAACGGGCACCCTAGCAATACCTGGGCGCTCTGTACGTCAGTATTCAATTAATGCTTTAATTGTCGAAGATGCAAATAGTATTTTAATCTTTTAGAATGCTGAATTAATTTCTCAAAGCCACATAATGTTTTATCTTCCAGTGATTTTCAGTGCATGACACTAAATGAAGAATGATTTGTGATACCTGATTCTGATTTTTCCTTTAGTTTCAAACACAAAAAAGTAAATGCATTAGGTATGTGTGCTAAATGGAAGAGAATACAAAATCACTCGTAGGTGAGTGACTGTTAATAGACAGGGGCAGATGCTTATGATAGCAACTAAAATAACGCTGTTCAAGAGCATAAAAGGTGAAGTATGAGAAGGGTGAAAGAAAGCAGAAATGTCATTTAAGGAAGAAATCATGCTGCTAACAGTAAATGAAGTAAAATTTATTTTCTCTCTGATGGAGAAGTGTGTAGGTTCTTTAAGAGGCTATCTGTATTATCTAATATATGGGATGTTAAAAGACAGAATAATTTATATTTGGAAACAGTTATTTCACTAATTGTTTTACTTATTTACATTTATCATAGGAACAGATACGATTTGATCAGAAGTAGGGATCAGTGTTCCTGACAGGAAAAGTTCATGTGCATTTTTTCCTGCTTCAAGAAAGATTTAAAATGAGGAAATGTACAGGACTAGCTTTTCTTGTAGTATAGGGACACCTTACAGTTATAGATTATTGTGCATAGCCTCAATTTCTACTTAGAACGGATTTTTTGAGACTTCAGAATTCCTCATCGTCTTGCTTAATATTCTTCAGCATCACCAGCACAGATGGCAAGTAAGGCACTCTCATAATGCCCGGAAGCAAAATGCTGCAAGAAAAGAATATTTTTGAGACTATAATTTTTCCTCGCTTTCCCCAGTTTGTGTACGACAAGGACTATGGTACTGTTGTAAGGTTTTGTAGAATATCTATAGTATTCTCACAAGGATTTTAGGCCAGGACTATTTAATTTCACATATCTCAGTTATTGGTTGCGCAGGCACCTAAAAACAATCTAGCTTTTAAAGGTTGGATCAAATCTGTTTAATGCTTCTCAAGTTCAAGCCTAAAAAATGATTAGGTATTTCTGGAAGTCTTACAGCTGGAATATAGCAACATAAACAAATTGCAAGTGTCCTATCAAGAGTAGTTTTTACAAAATTCAGCAGTGCCAGGGTTTTGACTGAAGACGCACAGCAACAATACAAGAGAAATAGTTTTTCTGAAGGCTGCTGTTTAAGCACAAGGATCGACCACATTTTGATCTCAGTTTCACAGTTGTGATACCAGACTAACCTTGCATGCTTGTGTCAAAGATGATGATATCAATTAGTGTAGAAACTACTCATGCAAAATATTCCCTAACATGCACTATCCTGCCCTGTTTATGTCCTCAGGCTACTGAGGAAGGAAAAAATCACGTGGGATGAGAGTGAGTTGAGAATTCACTTATTGAAGTCAGCCTGAGGCACTGAGTAAGATACGAGTTATGGATTCTATACATTACTGTTTTTCCATTTTTTTTTTAACCAAGTGATTGGATAGAGATTAAGCCTCAGTATTTTTCTGATAGGGTACCATACACACTCTGTATGGTGCCTGTGCTAAATATCTGCAAATGTGTGGGAAAAAACTTACTTTAATATCATGAAAAAGCGATTTCCCGTATCTCTCTTTGTATCGTTGTCTTATAGTCATCAGGTCAATTTCACTTCTAGCAATAAGAATCCTTATAACTGTTTTGTTATGAAACCCAAAATCCTAAAAAGAAAAAAAGATGTGAAGAAACTTGACAGTTTGACAATATGTGCTTGTCTATCTAAACATGCTCATATTTTACTAAATGGCCAATTATTGAGGCTGCCCATAAAGATATTCTGGATCTGAAAAGGCTCCAAGGAGTCGAAGCTTTTATTCTACAGAGTTTTCATATGCCTGGATAATAGAATTCACACTACCACATAACAGAAATCCACCAGGTGTCAGTGAACCCATGCTTTGAAACTTTAAAAAGAAAAAGCGGATGTTCTCTTGTTAATAGTCACAGGTATTCAGTTTTCTAGTTGGCTGTTGCAGCTTTGTCTGTGGGAAATGTATCTACTGAAGCTATACTGAAGCCAGCAATCTGTTTCACAACAGCTGCTGCCCAGAGTGGCTTCAGAGAGGTGTTTAACCATTGTCTTAGAACTTACATAGCTTGTATTCAACTATTATTTATTTTAAAGCTTCTAAATGAATCCATTTTCATATTGTTATTGTATGGAGAATGGGGACATCTAGTGGGTAATAAAATTGATCAAAACAGATTTGGGGGGGTACTGATTACCAATTCAGATTGTTTGAAGCCAAATGGGTGATTTTATCAACTAGCCATTTCTATTGAAATGCAGTCCTCCAAAAAGCAAGGAGTAAAGAGATGTTGAAAAATCTCTATATGGAGAATTTGATACATGTTTGATGGAAAGACTAAAATCTTTCTTATAAGCCATTAGGGACTCTTATAAACCATTATGGACTATGATTTCAAGCATTAGAATCCTGGGTAGGCTTTATTATACTGTATTGTAAATGGAAGTATAAAAAACCTACTTGTATAATCTGTACCTAACTTGATTGCAAAAACAGAAATAACTTAAAATTCCTGCCTTTCACTCAAAGTTTATCCACCTTTATTAAAATATTTTGTGAAAATAGTAAATATTAAAAAAAAGGGCCAATGCTTATTCTGAAGCCTTCGCGAGTTTTTTTCCTGCACAACACGCATCATCTGAATGTAATATAGAAGAAAACCATCTATATGATTTTTTTTTAAATTAAAATGAGGTTTTAACATGAAAACCAGTCTTGATGCAGGGCCTTTTGAGAAACATCTCTTTC